GCAATTGCAAAAAAAAACAACTTAAAAGAATTTGCCATCCGATTTTTAATGAATCAACTTTAATATGGGCCGTCCGATTTTAATGGATTTGGAAGGCTGAGATCACATCTATTTGAAAAACACAACTTTTCATCTGAACCATTACATTTAAATGATTTTGAACGGTTCAGATTGTATAGAATTTGCCTAATTCATCCTAAAAGTCTCGATTTTTGTGCAAAAGTCACTCTCCCTTACAAAGTACATTTGTTTGTAAAGTATGTTTGGAAAAGTGTCTATACATGTAATTATACCGGCCTCCAAAATATTAAAATAATTGCAAAGATATTTTTACAAACTAAGATGCTTTGGAGGGTAGACAAAAAGAGGCTTGTCAAAGAAAAACTAGACATCATAGATGAAATAATTAGAGTCATGAAATGTTTTTCTAGAACGTTAACATCTTTCTCCCCTACTTAAAATCCCTTAGCGAAAGAGACATAAACAAAATTAAATATAAAACTAAAAGAAACCAAATATTGAGACAAAATCTTGGTACAAGTGAAGATTAGGTAAGAGATTCACTCCAAGAAGCCAAATAAGACATTGCAACTTTACAGGTTCTCATCATTTAACTAAAGTGCAAGTTTAGATATCCCTCATAGTTTGTAGAAATTTTTTAAAAATAGATAATCAGAAGAGGTTTTTGGTAAAGTAATTCGGAAAAAAACTAATTTTTTGGATTTGGAAAAAAAAAAGTGATTGGGTTACCACCAACTTGGTTAGGTTCTCAATGACTTTATGTTTTTGTTTGACGAAATCTGGAACATGTAAAATACCAAATGTTGGAACAAAAGTTAGCACTGGAGTTGGAACAGAATCCGGAAGATTATGGAGCAAGTTAATGTATCCTTGTAACCGGTCAGACATATGGGACATATCAGTGGAAAGAGATAAATGGTTAGAAAATTGGAGATAAATGACATAGATACATGTCTTGAAATAAACTAGAATGCATAAAATTTCTTTTTTGTATCTCAGTCGATCTATGATCTAAACGAGTCTACGCACATACACCCGAGTAATGTTCCTAACTCGTCTCTGATCAGTGCTTTCCAAATGATAGTTCCGTTGGTACTTGGTAGAGCATTCCTTCAAATTACACCTATGTTTTTGATTTTTGAAGAATTAGATTTTGATTTTGTACGATTTAAAGTGTTATGAAGATATACGTAAATGTTTCAATGGTTTGTGTCAAACGCATCTAACTGCAAACATGGAGTTTGTGGGAGAAGCGTTTATACCCTAACAGTTAATAATATTCTTATGTAGCAAACATAGACATACGGTGAAAATAAACAAAAGAAGGTAGTTCAGGTAAATCAATCAATTGTATTGTAGGTGTAAAGAAAAAATAATGATTTATGTTAATTCAATTGTCAACTAAACACAAACTCGCGAGTATGAAGAAGACAAAGACGGTGACAAGTAAAGTTTCTAAAAATCTTTAAAGCAAAGGTCATGCATGAGTTCAGGGGGGTAAGGAAGTGAGGCT